AAATTAATTAATGCATCATATATCGCACATTTTGCATGTGGAAAATGCACTGTCAAAGTTCAAAGTCAAACGTACGTTTTATAGAAATACCTATGAGTAATAAAACAATATTTTTGTTGTTTTTTACACATATATTACTAAAGTTTTATCAGGTTTAAATATAAACTTAAACAAAATATTCCACATATTCGACTTGTTTCTTTATACCATATAACGAGCTCAGCCTTGTGGAAATTTTAAAGTCAAAGATGTAAAATGACCCTGGCAACAAAAGAGTGGACGTATTACAGAAGCAACTAAAATGTCAACAGGGAGAAACACCCATTCATATAGATGATACTGTGAAACAATCGATTAGAAGAAAAGTTAATTCAATTTCTTTACAAAAAAATATTTCCTACTTTGGATAAACTTTTAGTATACATTATTGAAGACGAATCTTTGCCAAAACTGTGGAAAACTTTACGTGAATAAGGATTTGTTTATGAGAATAACAATAGAAAATGTGCGCTCATAGTGTAAGACGAAATTATTTGTTGGATATCATGTTTTTAAGGCAAATTCGAAAATTGAGAAGAGAAGGCAAACACAGTTTGTTGCCGCCAAAGAATGTAGAGCGTAGAACTATTTTATTTAATTTTAAACTGTTTGTTTTTATTTTAGTGTAGTATTTGTACAATTTTATGTTAACATTCATGTTTATCACATTCTACGCTTGCCGGATAGTTTATATTTGACGAAATGCCACTGAAGATGCTATTTTAAGCGAAAGTACTTGGGCAAGATTTGATTAAACTTGTGCTCGATAATTGCCTTAATTTTCAAAGTTCATTTATTCGAGCATTTAACCTCATATCAATTATTTGATTTTGTTACTACAACGTTTTGTTAACCTTATTACAACGATTAGTTCTATTAAGAAATATATAGTTATATAATATCATATGATATCATCAACCTCCAACCTCAATACAGATTGACTATAGGTCAGACAACAAAGTTCCTGAGATTTGTTATAAATGTAGAATCAGTGTTTGAATTTCCAGGGGGCCGATCATTAACAACTGTAAGTTATATTGTGATACACAATAGTTTTATTTATTTCATTTTAATTCTTAAAAGTCATAAAATTTCCTAAAAGAAATGCCATAAAAAATAATTTAAGAATGACCCTTTATTTTTAATGTGCAAAAGTTTGGAAAATCACCTAACAAATCACATTTCTAAAAAGCTATGTAAAGCAATGTAAACTCAATCATTCAACGTCACAACCAATTTTCTTCCTAATTGATTAAACTAATGCTAAAATTTGCTGATTAGAAAAATCAGGAAAGCACTAGGATTCTCTTTAATTATTGACGTTGCTTGTTGTCGACGGTTATTTCAACGATTTGTTCCATTTTTGCAAGCGATGCTGTAATCGATTTCACCGGATATTAAAGGTGCTTAATTCTTTGCAATCCAGCAATTTATAAAATTAAAATTAGTACGATTTTCTTATACTGAGTATATACATATAAGAGTTATTATGTTTATGGTTTCCAATATCTTTTAAAATGCTAGATTATTCATAAATTAGAAAAGAATCCGTTTATAAACAAAATCTTTCAGTGTTGCTCATGATGTAATGGAAAAAATAGCTGAGCAAAAATTGTATAGACCGGTAGTAAAAGAATAAAACAAAGTGGATTTAGAGAATCTATACGATTGCACACATAATAAAAATAATTATAGTTTAGAGTTTCAATCGCGAAATAAAGTTTAACGAAACTTGATCAAATAGAAAACGATAAACGCTAAAATCTTTTACGTCAAATGATTTAAAAAAAATGCTACAGGCACACAATTTGACTGTGTAAACTTGAAAATTTTGTGGACAATTATGCAGGAGATTAGAGTTCCTGATCATCTGTTTCTCCAGAAACCAGAATAATTAAACCTTAGGATTATCAAGGTCTATCCCACTTATATCTATAAGTTTTCTTTATGGTGAATATATAATAAGAAAATTATTTCGGTAAGCAACTTACAGAACCTATAGAAATGGGTAGCGAAATAGGACATGGAGATTTATTGAGCTCCATGCTCTTCAATTTGATCATGGATGAAATCATCAAAAACGTTACCCAAGGAAGAGGATAAAGAATGGAAAAAAAAAGAAATAAAAATACTCTGTTACGCAGACCACGCAATATTGATAGCTCAAGATGAAGATAATCTGCAAAGACTGGTACACAGATTTATCATAAGAGAGAAAGAATTTAATATGACAATTTCATCTCAGAAAACTGAAACAATGGTACTCAGCAAAGAACCAACCAGATGTAAAATAGAAATTGATCACATCAGTATTGAACAAGTAATGGAAATACACTGTCTAGCTATTGAGGCCTGGACAAAAAAGTGAGAAATCAAGTACAAAAAGCAAATAGACTGGCAGGATGCATTAATTACACTATATGGTGAAACAGACACATAAACAATGAGATAAATTTAAGAATTTATAAAACCAGTGTAAGACCAATAATGACATATGCCTTAGAAAGAAGTTCCGACACAGCCACAACGCAAAGGCTACTGGAAACGGCAGAGATGAGAGTACTGAGAAAAATTACAGGAAATGCGCTGAGAGATCGAAAGAGAAGGGGAGATGTTCGAAGAAAATGTAACATACAGTGTAAATGAATGGACAAAAAATAGAAAAAAAAATATTCAGATGATATAACTCTAATAACTGCACTTGAAGACCAAATGTTAAACTTGCTAGAGCTAGTAGAAACCAAAAGCAATGGACGTAGTCTTAAGATCAATAAACAAAAACGAAAATTATGATAGTCATTTAAGCTTGCTGTAAACAACTGGAACTATAGATTAGTTTAAACAGGCCAGGAGAAGCTGATGAAAGGGGATAGTTACTTATATGGTAAGAAACCATGACACTTAGCACTGGGCAAACGACTAGAGAGAAAAGGTATAGATAAAATACTAAGAACAAATTAAAAATCATTAGTGGATAAGCATCATACTCTTAAAGATAACGGAATAAAACATAAAAATATATTCTTATTCTTCTTCTACTTTTTGGAGATCTTTCGATCTGTTTAATTCTAAAATCTGCCTCTGGTTAATTTCCTGGGAGATATATTGCCAACTATCCCTCCATCTATTAGGTGGTCTTCCGGGAGGTCTTGAACCGGGTGGGTTGTTTTCTAGGGCAATCTATTCTCATCCATTCGTCTTACATGATTGTACCACATCCTCTTACGCTGTCTTCCCCATCTTACAATATCTTGAATTATGCGCTGCTCTCTAACGTTGGTATTTCTCACCCCGTCTCTTCTTGTTTTGCCCACTATTGTTATTAGGGTTTTCATTTCGGCAACCCTTAGCATTTATTTCATTTTGTTAATAACTTTGCGCACTTCTATATCATGTCATGATCTGTCGTATGTAAGTCTTATAGATTCTAATTTTACTAACTGTGCGCATATATGGATTTGACCAGACTATCTCAAACAGACATCCCGACAATGCGAATGCTTTGTTTATCTTACTCCTTAGGTCCTTTACTGGGTCGTGTGTGCTTGATATATCTATGCCCAGATATCTAAATTGCATCACCTGTTCTATGGGGTTTTTCTCAACCACTAACATACATCTGAGCAGATCTTTTGCTATTGTCATACATTTAGTTTTGTTGATAAAAATGGTCATATTTAGTTAGCGGCTTATTTGAAAGAACTGAAAGAGCTGTCTCTAAATATCATCTTCTGATTCGGCTATAATTGTTGCATCATCTGCGTAATACACCATAACAATTCATTTGTTGCCCATTCTGTATCCGAGATTGAGAGATGTTTCTTTGTTTATAATTTTGCCCATGAGTAGGTTAAATAAGAAGAGGCTTAAACTATCGCCTTGTCTAATTCCTTCCGGTGTTGGAATATTTTCAGTGAATTGGTCTCCTACTGTAATTTTGATTACATTGTTGTTATTTAGGTTATGGACTATCTTTGTTATGTTTATCGGTGTTTTACGAGGGTGGATTAATATAAAACTAGCCTTCAAATTTTTTTATCCCATTCGAAAAGTATTTTTGCTCGAGCTCTTCAAAATAGGCCGAATATTTAGCGACGACTTCATCATTTGTTGCGAAACGGCGTCCTTTTAGTATCTTCCTTAATACGTAAATAAGAAAATAACGTTTTACGTCGTAGGTTTGGCCTGACAAACCACCGTCATCGAACGAAGTTCGGAGTTAGATAGTTCCGATGTAAAAAATGTTTTAATTAAAGTCTTAAAAGTGAAAAAAAATATTAAAACTATGAAAACAAAGCTAAATTAAGAAGAGAAATAGAACTCATACTAACCAAAACATAACTTCAAATATATTAAGAAACGTACAACCTACATTAAGAAATAAAGAAAATATATTTTAGACTAAAACAAAAAGATAACGAAAGAAAAAGAAAAATCACTTAAAAGATCAATAAAACCAAAAACATATGAATATAAATAACAAAAGAGTAACAGGTCACGTAATAAACGAAGACATTTGAGGATAATGTGGGCACAAGATGACATAGTAACGTGAGAAGAATTTAAAAAGCAAAATAAAGATAGAACCAGTTGGAAAGCATAATTAATATCCCCAAAGATATAGGGGATAGTTGAAACTCACCTCTTAAGTAATATATATCGATATGTCGGTATTAACAGACCGAAAGTCCTTAAAAAAGAGAAAAAGAGATCGTAATGTTCCTCTAAATAGCAATTGCACAATAACGGTTTCTACATTTTCATTTTTACCCGTACTTATTTGTATAGCACGTGGCATTTTAAAAATTTCAGTAATTACGGTTATACTTAACATATTCATAAATATAAGTTTAATTAAAAGTAGACCAGTTAGCATAATGTAGATGTAATCATAATATTAAAACATTAAAACAGTTCCTGTTTCCTGTTTAGATATTTTGTCACGAAATAACTGAACTTACCGTTTTTATCCATGGCGGCCAACCCCTGTCCTCTTCGAAGGTGAATCCGCAGTTGAAAAAAGGAGTGTTGTCGCAGAGCCACCTCCCTTCTTCTGGAAACTTCATCGCTTGTGCTAAGCTGAAAATAAAATTTTTATTTAGAAATTGGATCATTTGTATGTTAATTTTTTTTTTTTAATTTAAAAAACATTTATCTCTGTTGAAAGATACAAAATATCACTTTTTATGAACTTATCCGTATAATCCATAATCCTCTAACATAATCCGTTAATTAAACTACTGAGAATAATGAACATCGACACACGGCATATAAGAATAAAAAATAATCCGTATTATGAACAAAAAGCTATCATAAGAATAAATAATTTAAAAACTAAAAAAAAAAAATCAAAAGAGGTGTTAGATAGGGCTGTGTCTTGTCGCTTTCACTGTTTAAATGCATACTCAAAGGAAATATTCAAAATAAATAGCATTAGAAGATGAAGTAGCAGGTATAAAAATAAATAGCCTATTCTTCTTCTTTCAGTGCCTATTCGTTCCGAATATTGGCAATCATTCTGGCTATAATTATTTTATTAACTGCTGCTTTAAATAAATTCGTTGTTGTTGTGGAGAACCATTTCCTCAGGTTCTTCAACCATGATATTCTCCTTCTCCCAATTCCTCGCTTTCCGAATACTTTACCCTGTAGGATTACCTTCAGTAATCTGTATTTAGTGCTGTTTCTCATTATATGTCCGAGATATTCCAACTTTCTCCTTTTAATGGTATACATCACCTCTCTTTCTTTGCCCATTCTTCGTAATACGGTCTCGTTGGTTATCTTGTCTGTCCATAATAGCTATAAATTTTATGAAATTAGATATGCTGATAATACAATACTAACAGCAGAAAATATTACAGATCTACAAAGAGTTTTAGTTAAGGTTGTTGCAGCGATATAAGAATTTAGTCAGTAACTAAACATAAAGAGAACAAAATTCGTGGTGTAGCGTTTTATATTTAATGTATATATAATAATATAAATTCTGTTTTAAATTTTGAAGTACGTCCCTGGTTGTTTATCTCGTCAGTACGCATAAAATTACCAAGAAATCTGTGTTTGTCTTTTACAAAGAAATTTTAAAACGATCGATTATATAGCAAGTTTTTTTTTGTAAAGAATTAAATCTTTTAGCGAAAGCCGCTATCGCTTTATATATCAAATGGCCTAGGAGACAAATTCGTTAAACTTCCCGTGCTCTAATTGGTATCACTAAAGTGTTATGATCATTTCGGCCTATCCCAGCCATCGTCAGACACTTGGGCTGATACAAATTCAAACTCGGAAAGTAAAACGAATGTCTCCCAAATCTTTACTACCGTGTAGTTAGCTTATAAAGGCGCCACCTACTTTGGAGGCCGTGAACGAAACGATATGAATAATCGTTTTCTGTTTTCTGTTTTCTGTACAGAAAACGATTATTCATATCGTTTCGTTCACGGCCTCCAAAGTAGGTGGCGCCTTTATAAGCTAACTACACGGTAGTAAAGATTTGGGAGACATTCGTTTTACTTTCCGAGTTTGAATTTGTATCAGCCCAAGTGTCTGACGATGGCTGGGATAGGCCGAAATGATCATAACACTTTAGTGATACCAATTCGAGCACGGGAAGTTTAACGAATTTGTCTCCTAGGCCATTTGATAAGTTTTTTTTATATTTCGGCGAAGAAGTTAAATGTATGTTGTAAATGTTGATATTCGAACTAGAATATTTCAAGTTTTCTTGACGACATGCAAAAATATAGATGTTTTTGTAGTTAAAAACGATTTGTTTACATGAGTATCCTAAGATTCCGATTGAAAAAAAGATGTTTTTGTTGTAGTTCGTAGGGACGAACGAGTGTGTCGAGAGGTAAAGGGAAGAGTAGCCCGCGACGGTATTATTCTTTGTTTAGGTTCCGTAGACGCAAAGGGAAATTTGAATTGCGTTTAGTTGGGAGTCGAAGGAAAGATATTGGAAGTGAAGCAAGAGAATTCAAACTAGAAGGATGTTTGATGGATGTGGATTCATGTTAGTCATGACCTTTATCTTTGCCTTTATTCAATTATGGAGGTAGATGTTTTCGATGGTTTGTATAATATTGATTGGTATGTTTCTTTTATACAGTAGGTGTAAGACGTCTTCGACTTGGATGCCATCCAAAGCCTTTGTCAGGTCTATAAAATATAGATATGCTGGTTTATTGCACTCGATCGATCTGAATTGATGTTCACTGAATTGATCGATCGATATTGCACTTCCGGATCTGAATCCTTGTTTTTCGTCTGATAAAGTTGTTAGTTTATTGATTTTGTTGGCTAGGACTTTTGTGTTAAGGAAAAGATAAGGAAAACTTTATTGACAAAATTTTTTTTGTGCCAACAAACTAGTTTGAAGCTACACACCGTGCAGTGTGAAACTGCAAATAACAGTTTCTCTCTTTATTAAGACTTAACGGTATTGTACATTTTGTGCACATTGAATATGTTTTCCCTATTGAGCTGGAAATTTGCATCTTGACCTATTGTAAATTTAATAGTACATTATAAATTTAACTAAAAAATTAATACATGAGGCAAATGAAGATGGACTTGGTATTATTATAGCCTGGATTCCAGGCCACTCAGGAGTAAAAGGGAATATTGTGGCAGATCAATTGGCAAATATAGGTAGAACCTTAAACATCCCAGCTAACATAAAAATTGATTAAATGGACTATCTTTCATTTATTACTCAAACACTAATAAATGAATTTAAACTTGATTGGCTTAAACAGTTTAAACAAAAGGAAAAGTGGTACCAACAATATCAAAACGAATTCTCTATAAAACCATGGTTTCATAAGTTTGCCTTTGTAGACCGTAGACACCTGACAACAATTATTAGGTTACGAACAGAACATTGTTTGTCGCCAGATCATCTATTTAAAATTAACTGTATTGATTCCCCTTTTTGTGAGTGTGGGCAAATAGGAAGTATAATATACATCTTGCTAGAGTGTTATATCAATAAGACACCACTATTTGATTTATATCAAAAACTTATTAAAGATGGATGCCCAACGCCCATTTCAGTACAAAATATTTTCCACAATATCAATGCTAAAACCTTGAAAACGATTAGTTTATCAATATTTTTCAAATTAAAATGTAAGTAAAATATAAAGAAGTACCCAACCTACTGATGTCCTGTCCAAGATGCCAAATTCCAGATATACCTTACATAGTTTAATTAATGGAACAAGAAAAATCTATATCATTATTGACATATAGAATTATTTTAGAATATCCACTTTAAATTGTTCAAAATGATTGAAGGGAATATGGTTCTTTTCAGAATCTCTGTGAGGAGAATTCCCTTCTATAATTGAAATGAAAATATATACATGAGCTGGCCACGTACCTAAGAGGTGGAGACCATAAAACGAAAGAAGAAGAAGTACAGATATTAAATACTAATATTACCTTTGTATTTTCATAAGAATAACAATGTATTTCTACATTCCAAATATTTTAAACACAAATCATAAAAAGCATGGCTTCTGTTAGATGTTTCACTATTTGTCGCGCTCATTTTATAATAATTTTTAAAACATATATGCAAACTTTAATACGTAGTTGAAAAGTTTAACAACACAACTCTGATTTTTTAAGTTATGAAGTTGCCAAGCATAAATTGCTGTCAGGAGAATTTCCTGTTGTTTTATGTTGTCCGGATTTAATGAGACTGACAGCCCGAGGAAAGAAAATGGCATAGTATATTATAAGGGATTGCCTTTTCGGGGTTAGTCTTACCATAAATGAAATAAATGTTAAGCCATTTGTTTTATAAATATGTCTTAGAAGATAAAAAATACACAGTACACAAAAAATATATAGAGCCTTCTGGTGAAATGGAAGTTTTTGTCAAAAAGGGTTTATAATTAAGTTACCAGATATATTATCTGTTTCTATAGAATTAACTGTGCTCATAAAATTCAAAAATATTTATATATAATTATGTAAATAATAAGGAGTCTATAAGGAGCATATAAATGTATGTGTAATGACACCTACTAAGTTTTATCAAACACGCTTATTATCACATATAGCAATATACTCTTCTTCTTCTTGTGCCACTCCTATCGGAGATTGGAAATCATCAAGGCTATCCTGACCTTGTTTAAAGCTGACCTAAATAGTTCATTAGTGGTACAGCCAAACCACTCTCAAATTACGCAACCATGACATTCTTCTACGGTCTGGATTCTGTTTTCCTTCTATTTTCACTTTCCCTACAAAATTTCTGGGTCTGTTCCTATCCTTCGTATTACTTAAAAGTTTGTAACTGTTTCAACCCAACTTATCTTTAGCATTCGACGCTAGTAGCACATCTCGATACTTTTAATATTTTTTATGTTGTTCTGTTTGAGAGTCCAGGCCTCTACACCGTATAATAGCGTGTTAAATAGGTAGCCCCTTAGCATTCTTAATCGTAGAGGGATGCTTATATCTCTGTTGAGAAGAATTTCCTTATTTTTATGAAGGTTCTCTGGCAATTTCGATACGTCTTTTTGTTTCATTGGTTTGGTCTCCAGTTTGGTTTATTAAAGTCCCCAAATACTTGTAACTTGAAACTTTTTTAATTTGAATGTCGTTTGTACTAATATCTGCTGGTTGTCTCATGTTTTTACTGAAGACCATATACTTGTTTTTTTTTATATTAATATTTATGCCATAATTGTTGCAGGTAATATTTATATTTGTAAGTTATACTGAGGCTGGTGTGGTGAGACTTTCTGCTATACTGAGACTGGTGTTTATTTCTTCTTTCACTGTTTGTCGTAGGTGTCCACTTTTAAGCTGTCTTAAGTCTAACGCTAAGATGATGGTTTTTCGTATTTTCTTTGGTCTAGCTTCTATCAAAGACACTACTGGATTATAATCCGAACCGATATCAGATCCAGGATAAGTTTTAGGATTTCACGGCATTAAGGCATCCTTTTGTCACCATTTTGTAATCTATTTGGTTTCTGATTACTTTTTCTTGAGTGTGTTGAGGTGACGTCCACATATACAGTCGCCTTTTGGGTAATTTAAAGAATGTATTAGTTATT